TAAACACAAAATATACTAAACGTGTGGCAGTATTAGTAATTCCAAGCCATACTGGATGGGAGTAGTAGTAGTAATCCCATGTTGATGTGCCTTTAGAACACTAACACATTCAGCATTGTTTCAAAGCAAGCAATATTGAGGACTGACTTAAACTGCTTCTATTATCTTTAAACATCTTTTACAATCAGATATTTTTAGACTGATCTGTAAGGATTTTTTCTTATGGGAGCAATTAGTTGTTTAAAATGAGTTTAATTGCTTCCTTATTGAACTAAGATCACCTAAGAGGGTTGTCAGTCTTCTATACAAACAATTTCTGCACTATCTTTGATCTCATAAAAAAAAGTAAAAATACTAGAAACATTGAATAAAAATTATAAAATTTTCCTTCTCTATCACATTTAGTAAATATATATATATATATATATATATATATATATATATAGAGAGAGAGAGAGAGTGTGTGTGTGTATATATATATAGTGAGAGTGTGTGTATATATATATATATATATATATATGAGTGTGTGTGTGTATATATATATATATATATATATAGTGAGTGTGTGTGTGTATATATATATATATATATATAGTGAGAGTGTGTGTATATATATATATATAGTGAGTGTGTGTATATATATATATATAGTGAGTGTGTGTGTGTATATATATATATAGAGAGAGAGAGAAGTGTGTGTTTAGAGAGAGAGGAAATAGGTATGATACAACTCTTCATAACAAATGATGTTTTTCATTAAATTATAAAAAAAGAGCAATTTAGAGGCAGAGAGACTTGTTTATTTTGCTTTTATTATAGAAAACTTTTTTTTTTCGTTATCTGAAAATATGCCTGTCCTTTCTTTCTGCATGACAGTGACAGATGAAGAATTTCATCACAGATGAAAAAAAAAGACTTCAGGCAATCAAAGAATTCAGAAAATTAAACAGAAGTCTACAGTCTGACAGTTTTTAGCTGAATTTTGATCTGAAAGTTTCACTACATAATATTTAATCTACATGATTAATAGTCACCACTGAACTGAGTGCATTAACAAAGATAGAAACTATGTTGGAAAATATTTGTTGTATAAAATAAATGCTTTTTTATTATGAGGTTATCGGCATACTGATGTACCCTCTATCTACAAACACACACACACATATATATATATATACGTTAAAAACGGTGTGTCCCACCTAAATAACAACATAAACTGTCAACTAGGATATTTCTAGAAGATAACATTTTTAAGGAAAGTATCCTTTGTAATTACAGTGCTCTATATAAAGAGATAGAGGATTAATAGTAATATATATTCATTTGTCTGTATTCTGAGATTTACTGAGATTAAATCAATTGGTTAAAAGATTTGATTGTAAAATTAAATTTAGTTTCAGAAATCCTAGAAAAATATGATTTCTGGAAATAAATTGTTAATGAGTGGATATACTCCCCTCAGAACTCAGAGTAGGGATAAGTAAGCATTTCATTTTTATCTATTGCTAATAATATATATATATATATATATATATATATATGATTGAAGATTAAAAAAGAATGTTTGGCACCAAGAAACTTTGGAGTCAGGGATACAACAACTAAAAAGGATTTGATGTTTACAGTTGAGTAAATTTTAATATTTTATATAATATATATATATATATATAAGGCTGTGTGTGTGTAACGAATGCACAGCCACAATTTTCGACAGATTTGCACCAAAATTTACATGCACATGCTCCAAGTTAGCAGGAAGGCCAAGACTGACTTTGCCTTTCACAACTCCCATTGATAGTGAAAATAATCAATTTTTTCATGCTTCTACAGCAGTTTTCATGTAGTTTGCAGCCATTTTCTACTGGCCAGAGTGAGACCTTATAGCTGGCTGCCACGAATAGGCAGGAAGATTCTATTGGCCAGCGTGAGAGCCAACAGCTGACTGACACGAATGTTAACTAGCCTGTTAGCAAGCAAAAAAATTGATAACTGCATTCGTCACAAGTGGGAAAAATTTAAATCTGCATGGCACTTTACTCCAATTGGCTCATTTGCTTGCTTAAACTCAACATTGATTCTAATTCCACAGAACTGAGTTGGGTGGGAAAAAGTATTTGGAGTTAACAATTTTTTCCATTCAGTTTTTCCAGTTCCGAGTCCTTTTTTAAAGCTGATCGTTTTGTGTTCATTTTGTTTAGTTCTTTTTTCATAACAGATTTAATGTTTAGTATAGAGCTTAGAAAAAATTCGCAGTGTGAGATAGGCAAGAAGTAAGGCATGTAGCAACATCAGCACGGCAAAGGGCACTCCTTTAAAGGCAAGAAAGGGCAAAAATATTTTAAGTCAAGTGATAGCGATTGCTGTATGAGTCGTACGATTTTTGAATCAAGCACAGTCAACGCCAGGCCATGCTGCTCGTATATAATAGAGAAAGAAGATTGTTTCACCTCTTGTACCCTATCAATTTATATCTCAACTCTTTGGCATTTTTGGTAGTATCTGTTTTGCTTCTATCATGACATCTTTCTCCAGTTACTTTTTCATACTTTTGAAAACATTCTCTTTTTTTCCCTTTTCTATTTTGTCTGTTTTTGTTGAAATTAATCTTCTTTTTCTATGTGCTGTTTCCCTTCAGGACGTTGGCAATGAAGACTCTCCACAACTTCTTGTCCTTTGTAATGCTTAGTAAATTATCTTTTTGTTATCTCTCCTAAACCCTGTCCTACCAAACACATCCTTAAGCTCATTAGGTAGGTTATGCATTGGTTTCTTCTATCCCTATTGCATTCAATCTATATTGGGAGTATTAAATTCTCCAAGCCCTCTTTTCTCATTATGTGTCCTAAAAATTTCAACTATTTCTGATGTTAGGTGTAAGTGTCCTTTTTGTTTCCATTTTCTCTAAAAATTTGTTATTCAGTCCATGGCATTCTCAACATCCTTCTGTAGGACCATACTTTTATTGCCTCAAATTTCTTCTTCATCTGTGTGGAGATGATACAGCATTTGCTGCTATTAATATGGCCCTAACCTAAAGAATATTGTCAGACTAGATAAAAGTAAGCTTACATTAAGTAATCAATATTTGATTAGCAAGCAAAAACGGCTATTGATTTTGTTAATTAAATTTTCATTACTTGCAATTTTCCAAATTTACTTTCACCTGTTATATTTTAAAATGATCTAAGTGATATAAATTTTGTGCCAGTAAATGATAATAACTTTACCATTATTATTAAGTTTTACTGTTTTGCGGGGAACATGTGTGCACAATTTTATAAGATGATACTTATGAAAAAACATTTTTTGATATGTTGTGAATGACAAAGTGGAAAAAATTTATTTAACGTGTTTCAACCTCTGAAAGAATTTCATCAGTTTCATGAGTTAGATGTATGTAGAGGGAGATATATACATAAGTGCCAATTATAATTATGCACCAAGGAGAAATGCTGAAGATATGAAGAACAGTAAACTTTAAAATTTCTGACATCTGATACACAGTTCAGCCGATCTCATACAATTCCTCAGTTGATTTGGTTTTTAATGCAGTTGCTTTTAAATATCTCACGTTGTGACAACAGAAGATTTTGTCTATATTTCAAGGACACATGGCACAGTGGATAAAGGCGTTGGTTAGATCCAGTGACAGACCCAAAGAAGGTGAGTTCAATTCCTGGTTAAGGCAGTGGAGAACTTTCAGAGGGAAAATTAGCAGGAGATAACTGATAACTGACATCCATCAAACATGGCACGTGGAATTAGAACAGTCTACCCCAGCGATCGAAATAAAGGGTTCAGTTCGAAATTCCAACCACCTGAAGAAGGCCGGAGCGTACAACGGCCGAAACGTTGTGACAAATATGGCGACAAAGATGAGGACAATAGTCCGACTAATGTAAATACTGAACAGAAGATTTGTTAAGAAAGATGAAATGTTGTAAGAATCTGGATGCAACTTTTAACATGGACATTTCAGAAATCAATGCACTTTCTATGCATATTTTGCCTTAGTAAATTACTACCTCTTTTAATTAAAGCAGTGTTTTTTTAAAATGAAATGAGGGTTAGATTTATTATGATGAATGACTGATGTACTGAGTGTATTGTTTTGTAAAAGATCTCTTGTGTTCATATAATCTTCCTACTTTCAAGAATTTTTCCACTTTGTCATTCATTTACCCAACATTTTTTGTGTATATATATATATAAAGAAAGTTATATATTCATATTCTCCCATTTATTGTTTGAAAGCAGTTTTCATAAAACTATTTCATATCAATAAACAAACTCTATATTAAAAAATAACACAAGTGATTGAATAAAAACATAAAAATATGCATACTCATATCAATTCTTGAAAAGACAAAGTACATATAAAGTCTTGGTCATATGATAGTAATCTGCTGTTGGCTTCATTGAAATTGTTTTTTTTTTTCTTTTTTAAGCAAACATAGTTCTGGTGAAGAACAATTTTGTTGTTGGGATGCTAACTTCAAAATTTGCATCGTGAAAGTGTAAAAAAAAAAAATCTTCTTGAGGTGTCTTTTTTTATTAACTTACTTTTTACAACCTAATCAAATCAATGCCACAACATGAATTTGCTTTCATCAATCTTTTCTGTCCCACAGATTGGTCAATTTAAGTTGTAATGCAGTTTGGAATGACAAAGCTGAAAATCTTAGAACAGAAAAAAAAAAAATCAATAAATAAATCAAAAACTAACAACAAAGAAATTTCAGGAGTAAAAAAAAAAAAAAATGGAGGATAGAGGAAATTTTTGGAAATTCATCCTTGATTGTGATTTTATCAAACGAGGAATGTAATCACATTTTTTCTTTTCTGTTTTTATATTTAAAAAAAAAAAAAAAAAAGGCAATGTATGGTTTTGGGTCTTACAAGATTGAAGATTTTGGTCAGTTGTATTAATCCTTAACTGGCAACTCTTTTCTATCCCTTGGGTACCAAGTTAATTTTGAAGGTTTTCCTCAAATTGCACCTTAGAATTTCTCTGGGGCAAAAAAAAAAAAAAAAGGATAATTAGGGATTCTAAACAAAAGACAGAGGAAGAAAATGTTTAAAAACAAGACCAAAAGAAAATGGGAAGCAACAGTTTTCAAAAAGTAAAGTAAAAGGAAAAGAGAATGATTTTGGAAGAGATCATGAAGGGAAGAGATTAGGGAAGAAAAAATGATTAGGAAAGAGATAGTGAAAACAAAAAGATTGGAGAAGAGATTGTGAAGTGAAGAGAGAATGAAGGAAAAATATTGAAATAGAGCTAGCGAAGGAAAAAGATTGAAATAGAACTAGTGATGGAAAAAGATTGGGACAGAGCTAGCGAAGGAAAAAGATTGAAATAGAGCTAGTGAAAGAAAAAGATTGAAATAGAGCTAGCGAAGGAAAAAGACTGGGACAGAGCCAGTGAAGGAAAAAAGACTGGAACACAGCTAGCGAAGGAAAAAGATTGAAATAGAGCTAGTGAAAGAAAAAGATTGGGACAGAGCTAGTGAAGGAAAAAGATTGAAATAGAGTTAGTGAATGAAAAAGATTGGGACAGAGCTAGTGAAGGAAAAAAGACTGGGACAGAGCTAGTGAAGGAAAAAAAGATTGAAATAGAGCTAGCGAAGGAAAAAGACTGGGACAGAGCTAGCGAAGGAAAAAAGACTGGGACAGAGCTAGCGAAGGAAAAAAAAGACTGGGACAGAGCTAGCGAAGGAAAAAAAGACTGGGACAGAGCTAGCGAAGGAAAAAAAAGACTGGGACAGAGCTAGCGAAGGAAAAAAGACTGGGACAGAGCTAGCGAAGGAAAAAAGACTGGGACAGAGCTAGCGAAGGAAAAAAGACTGGACAGAGCTAGCGAAGGAAAAAAGATTGAAATAGAGCTAGTGAAGGAAAAAAGATTGAAATAGAGCTAACGAAGGAAAAAGATTGAAATAGAGCTAGCGAAGAAAAAAAGACTGGGACAGAGCTAGCAAAGGAAAAAAGATTGAAATAGAACTAGTGAAGGAAAAAAGACTGGGACAGAGCTAGCGAAGGAAAAAGATTGCAATAGAGCTAGCGAAGGAAAAAGATTGAAATAGAGCTAGTGAAGGAAAAAAGACTGGGACAGAGCTAGCGAAGGAAAAAGATTGAAATAGAGCTAGTGAAGGAAAAAAGACAGAAAATTAAAATATATATAGCAAGTCTGAAGGAGTGGGCTTAGAATTAACATAACAATTGAAAGATTGAAAGACGAAATAGACAGAGAAAATAAAGAGAAATAAAAAATTAAAGACAACAAAATTGTGTAATTTAAAATTTGAAGACCAAAGACAAAGATTTGTTAAGGTGGAGCAAATTTAAGAAAAATGAGAGGAAAAGAGGCAGAAATAATATGTGAGAAAGTGTGTGTGCGGGTCAAAGTGTATATGAGACAGTAAAGAGAATCAGGAAGAGCAAATGAAAGAGAATAGATGAAAAAAAAGTTTTCTGTACAGATTTTGAGAGGCCCTGGTTCTAAATGCAATATCAAAACAACTATTAAAATCAAGAAAGAAATTTATTTTTGAAATGTATATATTTTGTTTGGAGTTGGGGAAGATATTTGCAGTCCCTATTGGTCATCATCCTTGGCATGAAGGACAAAAACAGGAAAGAAGATAAAAATGGTAAAACACAAAGAATGATTTCTTTCCAAATTACCTTCCACTTTTCTTTGTGGAAAAGAAAAAAAAAAATTCCGATTACAATTAACAGCAACCATGTCAAGATGTTAGCAATTTACAATAAGAACGAGGAATTCGTTTCTTTATCTCTAGCTGGAGTGGGAGATAAAAAAAAGAAGACAAATAAGAGAGTATGCACTATATCTCCCATTGGCGATTTCACCTTGAGTTTAATATTAAAACCTGGTCTGATGAATTGCGTATCTAAAGAGGTGAACTTACCCTAAATGGATCTGATCTGACTTCTCCCCAGTGAGGGATATTAAATCAGAGCATTGAATTACACCGAGATGTATGTACGTGTGCAATAGTGAGGAGTGATATTATTTGTTCCCTCTGAATTTTTGGTTTCTTCAGTTTGCTTTGGCTTTGCAAGACAAGGGCAGATAAATCTACCAAGAAGTATTTTGTATTGAAGAATTAGCATTGGACTATTTTCTGGTATTTGAGAAATGTAGTGTTTTTTGCAGCCACCATTTCTTTTTGTTTTTGACTACTCTCTTTTTATTGTTTGTTTCTTTCATTATTATCAGGTGACATGGAGTTGTAATCAAAATAGAATTATTTCACTACACCCTTTTTTTTAACATATGTTTGTCCATCTTAGGGTAAAAATTTGAAAAAAAAAATAAACTAATTTGTTTGGTTCCGACAGTCTTATAAAAAGCTGAATTTTATTCTTTAGTCTGCATCTACCAATTTTTAGCCTTTTTATTTGCAAAGTTGTTATCATTTGTGTTGTTTAGAGTGCATACTTTTCAATTTGTATACTTTAAAGGATATGTTAGTGGCATAACGATTATGAATGTGAAAAATGGTATCAGTGAGCAAAGTTCAATTACTGATCTCAGCTGTTGCATTCACTTTTATATAGATATCCTTGGGTAACACATGAATTCATCTTTTTCCTTGCAGCTACAGGTTAAAAAGCAGAGTAGACAACTTTCTCACCTTGACTAGCAGCCAGTCTAGGAGAACTACTATTCTGAATAGCAAACTTTTTCCCCAAGAAGCCATGGTAATTCACAGGTATTAAAGAAAAGAAACCATAGAAATCCATAATCACTTATATTCTGAAGATATTATTTCAACCTTTGTAGCTTGATATGGAACTTATTGTACAGACAAAGAATAAATGATAGGAAATGAGATTAATTTACCTATCAAGAAGATTGACATCTGAATTCTTGGCTTTTTACCTGAGATTGTTATAATGAAATTAAAACAATTCCTTAATCTAGAAAAGATATCCCACATAATTTCTTCTGCTAAAGTAAAGCAAAAGAAATATCTAACAAACAAAATGTCTATGTTACAATCTGTTATTGTCGATTAAATGTTTATTGTTGACATTAATAGCCAAAGAAAAAAAGAAATCCAGATTTCATTTATTTCTGGTAAGTTTCCAGGGGAAAATATATTTCAGGGAAAAAAATTGTCCTTTGAAACTGTACACAAACATTGTACTTGTTTGGATATTAATAATAAAAAAAAAAAGAAATTATAGTCTTATATCTAATGGTTAAAAAAGGTAATTGTTAGTGTGAAAGAGAAATCTATATAACATATAGGTAGTAATGGTCACATTTTACCATTAAAACTTTCTACAGTAAATATCCATACTAAGGAAGGTCAGGTAGTGAAATGGATATTGGTATAGAAAATGGAATCGGTAAGCTGAATTTAAATTCCCATCTAGTCAGCTGCATTCACTTTATTGCAAAAGAGAATGCAACAGAGTAGATGTGGAAAGTCATGAATCTGTCTCTTCTCTACATAAACAGCTGTGGATAAACTGGACTCTTGAGCCTTAAGCAGCATTCAGCCTAAGAGAAAGAAAACTTTAAATATCAAATCATGGAGAAGGCAACAGGAAACCACTTTACTATCATTAACAAGAAAGCATAACAGTTCTCTTATACTAAAGAAATAGGCAATCATAGCTCTCCACGGGTTCTATATTCTGAATGTCCATGACATTTTTAAAAAAAATTATATCAAATTTGAGAGTGCTGCATGAGAAAGTTTGGCCATATAGAATGAATAAACAGATTCGGTCAGTTATATATATATATATATATATATATGTATACAGTTCTCTATCCCTCTCTCTATATATATATATATATATATATATATATAAAATGATATTTCTAGTGGATACCCATATTTGAGTAAATGCTTTGTTTATTTATTAAACAGTATATTTAGTTATTTTCAAAATTCGATTAATAAATGAAATATCTATTCATATATATATAATATATATATATATATATATATATATATATATATATATAAATATATAGGATTAATAAAAATGTTAAATTTGTCACTTAACTGATTGATGTTATATTCAGCACATCTTCTCTAGAGTTTTGTAGACAAACCTTTGTGTAATTGTTTGGTTCATTCATCAGGAAGAATCAGCAAATGTAAGTCAATTTACTTGTTGTTGTTATTTTTATATTAAGTTAAAAAAAATAATTTATGTGCTTTTTTTTTTTTTTTTTTTTGGTGCTTGGTTGGTTTTTTTTTTTGTGTGTGCAACTCCTCTATTTAATTTTTTTTTTTTTTCTCTTTCTCCAAGGACTTTCTGTTATTCTTATTTGTAATTTTTCAGGATTTCCTTTGGAGCTTGCATATTTCATATGCATTACTCTGTAGGCACACACATGTATGTATGTAGGCCTGGTACGTACTACCTTCAAACCCCCTGACATAGGCGGGAGACTGATTTGGGACCTCAAGCATTGCTTTATAACCCTCACAATCTTATCAACATTTGCTTTGTTCTACCTACATTTATATACATTACAAATTAAACTAAGCACAACTGACTACTAAAGAATGTAAAATTTTCTGGGATTTTGATGTCATTCTGGCATCGTTTATGGAGTCGTAAGTTTATTTTTGCTCATGCTATTATTCAGCTTTTTGATTAATTTAAGGTGGAATGATCTGTGATGACATGTCTCTAATTTCTATTTAAATACATTGTATTTATTTTCAATTTTTATAGTTGAATTGTTCACCTATATTGCATATAATCCATTATTGTACATAATTAGGTTACAATTTGTATTTTATATAAAGAGTACCTTATGAAAATTGAGATGTAGTAGAAGAAGGGGCCCCATATCATAGTTTTGGGGGTACATAAAACCCTTGAACTGGCTCTGTGTGTGTGTGTGCATCATTTTTATTTATTGTATAATGACATGGTATTTGCTATGCCTCTTAACTGGCTCCATAGGAACCCCAAAGGGTTAAACTCTAGGAAAAAAAAATCAACAAATCGTATAGGAGACAGTATGTCAAAATTACTATCCTTTTCAGAGTTTGTTTTATAGCAGCTGCACCTCACATCTGTACACTTGTCAAATTTAGAATCTTATTAGTGAATGACAAAATAGAAAAGTGCAATATTTGTATAATGAGAAGCTTGATTACTAATCATAAAAATCACAATAGCTAAAACTTGAGATATACATCCCATTCTTTCTTTCTTGCCAAATCACCTCTGCCAAATTCCGATAGGTACCGAACATACCAATTTTGGCAGATAACCAAATTAAGTACCCTATTGGCGTCAAACTAATTTCAGATGAGATTTATTGGTTTTCTCTTGTTGAAAACCATGTAAGAAAGAGCAAACAATTTAATCTAACTTAAGTTATAGAGTCACAGTTGTGTAGAAACTTCAGTCTTGGTAAAAACTCTTATAAATGTTAAGACATCATCAAATAATCGCTTTAGACATCTGATAACTGTCTAATTGCCAAAGAAGAAATCTTTTATTTGCTGAAATCAAAATTTACAAGACAGATGCACAATTTTTAAATTAGGAAAATGAATAATGATATAACACAAAAAAAAATCAAATCCCTTTACGAAATAGGCAAATCTTATGGCTTGTCAACAGAACCAGTTGATTATCATGAAGATTTAGAATGTAAAAATTTCATTTCTGTCTTTTTTGAAACAGTCAGAAATTTAAAGGAATGTTAGAAGTTTACCACCATATTTATTGTTGGTCATGCACTTTAATAATAAATGACTCTGCATCATCTACTCTTGTTCCTTATATATATATATATATATATATATATATATATATATAAAAGTGAACATTGAAGTCAACACTCAAAGGTGACAGGTTGTTTCATGCTAGATGCAGTCGTCGGGCCTGAGTGTTGATTTCAATGTTCACTTTATATTTACATACGCTCTCTCTGATATTGAGCACTTTATCCCATAAATATAGCACACCTTAAAAACTATATTTCTTCATATATATATATATATATATATATATATATATATATATATATATACCCATTTAGACTGGTAGGGATAAATTCCAAGGTGGATATTTATCCAAAGGTAGCTCATTGTAAACTACAGCACATTATAATAACTCAAGAAAATGTTGATTCTTTTATATAAGCACTCGCATATATGCTTTTTCGTGTGTGTACATATATATATATATATATATGTGTGTGCGTGTGTAAGTGTGAGTATAGTGCTTATCACACATTTTTGTGTTTTTTTTTATATGTAGTTAGATGTGTGATTGTCTTGCAGATGTAGACATCATCTATAATTTTAATTTAATACTTTTAGTACTATTATTAATAGGTGTATCATTATTATGTTTATCCTTCTATTTTTAAATTTGTTCTCTATATTTATCTATATATTGATTTACTTATTTTTTTTATCTTTTTATTATTTTTTATTTTACTTTATTTTAAATAATTTATTTATGCTGGATATTATTATTATTATTATGTTTATTAAGGTTGTCTTTATTAGTCTAATTAATTTTAATTCATGATGACTGTTGCTGCCTAAAATAACAGGCTCTATCAGTCAATTTGCGGTAGCTCTTTCAAGTCTGTTTACACACCACATCACCTGATGTGTAAACTTGTTCAACCCTTTATGGAAATAATTTTTTATCATCTCATTCTTTTTTTAGTTTAGTTTTACTACTATCCCTTCATTTCTTCCTTTTTCTCTTTCCCTTCCTTCACTCACTCTCTCTTCCTCCCTCTGTCATTTCTATATTTTTATATTTGAAAATCTGTTATGTTTCTTTCTTCCTTTCCTTTCCACCTGTTAATTTAGTATATCTGTCTGAAT